GTATCTGGTAATGATTGCGCGCGGACCTGTAGAGCTTTTTTTGTGTCGCAGCCTGTGGTATCAGAGACAGAATTTTTTATCTTTTGTGTGGACTTGTATATATGGACATGAGAACTCACAAGATCCAGAAGAGAAGTTTTTGATTTGACGGTAATCTCTCAATCTCATCTCAATTTAACGCTTAATTATCACAGTCTCACTTGTCTCTATTTCGGCAATCACAGTCATGTCAATCTGCTTGTTTTTATCTTTATAAACAGAAATATTGTTTGTGTTGTGTGGGTTTACTCGAATTTCAAACTTGAGTTTGGCTTGTGTTCTCACAAAGTTTTATGTTGAGCATACTTAGGATAATTAAAATTAAGTGTTTATCTTCTTTTTATAAGAGATAAAGAAAATCTCCTGCAAATGTTAGTATCTGTATCTTAAATAATGCTTTCAATGTTCATGTAAAACAACTGAAGTGTTGTAAACCAGATTTATTTTTAAAAAAAATCATACTGATCATTGTTGATTTCTTTCGGGAGTTGTAATATTATCTACACTTTATATAAATCTGTATTCATTTGTATATTTTTCCTGCCTATTTATACACATCACATATTAATTATGATAATAATATTCCTCAACCAACATATAACCAAAGGCTTTATAATAGAACTAACAGAAAGGTTTAGAAACCCGATATGAATGCACGATTTTCTTTTATTGGAGGGATATAAAGCCTTAATACTTAGTATTAAATTCTTTATAATCAAATGCTTAGGAAGTTTGTATTTTACTTCTAGCCATGGATGAGGATGGTGCTGACAAGCAGAACGGAATAAGACTCCCTGCCACAACTGGTCCCCGGCCCTATAAATGCGATGTTTGTCAGAGGTCATTCAGGGAGGTTGCTACCCTCAGAAAACATGAACAACTGCATCGGGCAGATCGCCCATATGTCTGTCAGACCTGCGGAAAGTCCTTCTTGTGGTCATCAAATCTCAAAGTTCATGAACGAGTGCATACTGGGGAGAGGCCTTACAAATGTAAAATATGCCACAGGTATGTTAGAGTTATATACTTAAGGTGGTCATGGCCATTTATAAACCATTTAAACCTCCTGAAACAGGAGAGCTTGTATAAAAATATATGATATTGCTTAAAATATCATAGCTGGAACATGTGTTTTTCTACTAAATAATATGGCTAGAAAAATCGTTTTAATGTTTTTAAGTGGATCTGTTGGGTAATTTGTTCGCCTCCTTAATATGATTTCAACATCACTTTGAAGTATACTTTTTTAAAATAATACATGGTCACTTCGTAAGTGACATGCTTGTGTACAGGGTATGTACTTGTTGATGGTTATGTAACTATTAATTGGGGAAGTACAAACCACATATCAGGTTATTTATAAAGTGCTGTGCTCTTCTGAAATAAATAAGACTGAATTTTTACAATTTTCAGACTTCTTATGACAGTTAATGTCAAATTCAGGAAATTAAAATTCCTTCGTTTTTGAACCATATCAACAAAGGGAAAACTGTTGGTTTTAATTAATTTTTATTAATTGTTTCATTGTGCATCAGTTGACTTATCTATGACTGCCTTCATTTATCATGATAAGGTTTTTATGAACTTTTTTCCCTCCCATTCTATAAAAGGTTTAAAGAGGATGTTATTTTGATGCACTCACAAGTGCTCAAATTTTTATTGAGGAAGTACACATACATGTCTACATACAACTGCATAATAAATCCCCCACTTTTTTTAACTTTGTTGAAGATTTTGGACTCATGGAGAGTCAAGTGTTACAAGAGGAAAAAAAACCCACACGTTTTATAATGTGACTTTGTTTTCCTTATATGCACAAGTTTTGAAAAAGCTGAAAGTAATTGATTTTAATACCTAACCACCTTTCTACCTATAAAATTACGTGTATAACTAGCATATGGTATTCCTTTAGGGGTTTTTTTGTAATGGAACAATAACAGCTTATCAGTTAAAATGGAAGAACAGTACATGTTCATTTTATTAAGTTAATATGATATTAACCTATTATTTGATTGGCTAAATCATATAATGAAATACTGTACAAGCTAATCTTTTATAGTACACAACCAGACCTTGACATACAAATGTGAAGTATAAAGTGTGCAAAGGGGGCTCTTCCATCTTTTACACACAGTGCCACATTACATCTATGAACTGCCAGATTGCAGAGGGGAAAAACATAGCTATAGGCCACTGCCACAAGCCTCCCTCATGAAATTTTCCCTAATGCAAAAACCTCCATTATTTTGTTGAAGTGGTGCCAACTGTTCATCATACAGGTTTAACAAGGAATTGATGTAGGGATAATAACACTTTAATTAAAGCATATATTTTCTTTAAGACATGTAACAATCAGAAAAAAAATAATAGGTAGACATTTGATGCAGAATGCTATGCCAAGTTTAAATAGAATTTATGTATTATGTGCTGGTGAGTAATGTGTATGACGGTAAATGCTGCAGCTTCTTCACGGAAAATAGCAAGAATTCGATCATGCTCACCACGAGGCAGTCTGAAACAATGGACAAGACGTTTAACTTCTTCTTCAGTTGTCTGTCTCTGGGCATTGATTTTTTTTGGTGTGACCTATTTGTCTGGCATATGTTTTCTTACCAAGATGTACCTGATCATTAGTGAGTTGGATTTCCTTTGGAAGATGATCTTGAGACAACTCGAGTTTCTCCTTTCCTGTCATCACTGCCATTAGCAGACGTGAGGTTTTGTGTAATATTGTCACAGTCCTTTTGTTTCTTGAGATCTAGACTTGTATAATTAGGTGCAATCAATCTGAAATCTATCATCTTCATCTTTGTTGTATCAAATAAAAATGTCACTTTTACTAAATTTCATGTACATTAGTAACCTTTACAGATATTATAGTCTCATCTTTACACTATCAGTCATGAAAAATGATACAGTTTTAGTAAATGGATTTGCCATTTACAAGAAATAATTTGGGATTGAGGGACTAATGTGTGATTTTTGATCAGACTTTATAATAAACAGCAATGGGCGATGCCAAATCTACTCACTATTTTCTCTATCTCAATGTGTGTAGTTCATAAAGCTAATAAATGCCTTTGTGAAAATAAGACATATCATACTAATGGTTGCTGCAGGCAGTTATAATTTTTCAACTTTGTAAAATATTTGCAAGGTTATTAAGCATGATTCCCCTGTCAGGACAAGATGAGTGGGGGGTCTTGTATGAGATATATATACGGTATATATATCCAGTATATATCTTTGTTGTTACTTCTAATGTATCTAATGTTTGATACATTACTGTGAGTAATAAAAAGTCCCTCAATTTGACTGTTATAAACAGTGTCAGGGATTAATTCATGCTGTATTTAAGTTTTTATTTTTATATTTTTTTTAATGAGAAAAGAAATGAAAAACTATAGAATTTGATTTGTAAAGTTTAGTCTCACTAGAAAAATATCTCCTACAGTGCTGTGATTCTATGAAGAAAAAAGTTAACTACTCAAAAACTTTCTATATGACAGTATTAAAAAATGTAATCTTGCATGAAATGTTGTGAATTTATTTCTTTTTGTAGAAGAAATGACTAGTATAAAAGTTTATATACTAGCAAGTCTAAAATAGAAATCCTTGTTCCAGAAGCAAAAAAAAAAATATATATATATATATCTATATATAAAAATCCTATCTTCGAGATTAGTCAGGCTTTGGAATGAAAAACAGATCTTCCTCATTAATACTTTTTTTTTTTAGTTTCCTTTTATAAATGAAGGGCAATTTAAAACCTTTATGCACTAAAATATGCGTGCACCTAATACACTGCATGAATCAAACGCAGAGGAGTTCCTTAGGGGAAAATTGACAGTGATAATCATATAAAGTGTTTGTTAGAAGCATGGCAGGTTTTACAATTCTAAAGACATTAAAAAGTTGTTTTACGATCATATAAAAGAAGATCCATCCCAAAATTGCTTAAGGCAAAAGGATGCAATAGAGGGCATCAGATGACAGGCTATTATGCATTAATGTGGTCTTTGTACTCTTACTGCAAGTGGAAATAGTTGTTGCTAAATTGTCCTGCCAAAGGTTTTATTGTGTGCATAAAACCACTATTAATTTTTCTCATGCAAAAAATATAAATTCATTTCTGACGCAAAACATGAGACCAAGAGATGTATAGGTGATCTGCAGCGATAAAGAATTTGTTAAAAAAAACACACATTGATTGGGGGGGTTTCTTTGGGGGAGCAGTGATGCAGATCAGAGCAAATAGAAGGAGGAGGAGTAATGGCTGTGTTCATATTATGAGAGGATCAATAGCTAAGCCACGGGGATTGAGCTTAGAGCTTAAAATTTAATTCAACTGATAGTTCATTTGTTGAGGCATGTCACAGGGAGCAATTTAATATTGATAATTAGTGAGGGAAAAAAAATCCATTCAAGTGACATATTCTAAATGCGCTATGTCATATTATCAGGGAGTGAACAACATATTGTTGAGACTTAGGGGGAATGAACGATCGTACTCCTGAATGCTAATTTGACCTCAGCAGGGCAAATGTTTGCTGGTGTCCTTGGTGTACACAAAAAAGAGACCAGTATTTACATATACCTCAAAGTTCACTCACCTTAAAACCACAATCAAAAACATTTAGAAGATCTCTGTCAACAAATTGAGCAGATGATTCCAGACTTTGATTTCATTTATCACCATAGAATGTCATTTGCTACATAAAAAAAAAATGGAAATTTTTTCACAAATTAAAAAATATTAATTACTGGTTATCTGGAGCCAAAGGGTTATTTCATGTTCTCAAGATTTCTGTTTGAAATCTGTGAAGTTTAAGTAATAAAGATAAATTAATTTTAAAAATATAACATGAAGTGAACATAAGTTACAAACTGCAGGGATCAGACAGAATTCAGATTGATTTTGACCTGCTGTTGTGTGTCCTCATTTGAGGCAGCACATATTGCAGTTGTAACAGCTGGCTTGCTCGGTGGTCCTTATGTGGTGTCATATAGCCCAGAAAATAAAAAAAAAGTATCGGGTTAGAATAACACTTATAGAACAACACATGTTGGGAAAAAACATTCAAAATGTAAAAAAAAAAAAATGCTTTTGTGAGATTCTATGGCCTAGTATTTTTTTTTTATTTTTTGAGGGAGGGGGTTTATGATCAATTATTTGATTCCTATAACTAGCATTTACTTATTGACAATAACACAGATGTTGAACAATAAAAAAAAAAAATGCCCCATTTATCTGCACAAAATATTCAGTTCATAAGGTATTTTGTTTTTGCATATGTCAATCTACCATTAGACTTAGAACAGTATATATTAGACTTCTTGGGCTAAAATGTGCCGTATGAACTTTTCATGCTTAAGAAATATGATATTTTGAATTTAACAGTAAGTTATAATCTATAGATTATAAGACTGTTCTAGAAAACGAACAAAAGAGGGTACTGACACTGTAATTTTCTATGATGCATCCTTTTTAAGGCGATAAGGAAAAAAAAACTTGCCCATCTTTGTTATCGGTTCAGAAATGTTAGGACAGTTGAAGATATATCGAAAAGGGAAGCTTTAATTAGATGTCTTTATTGCTCCATGTCATGGCTAACAGCATATGTTATGAAGAGGTTAAAAATCCCTTGTTATTTGTGGAATTTCTCTTGAGCAATTCCATGTACATGCATATAGATTCTAAAAATATATTTAAATTGACTCTTAATGTTTCCTTTTTTTATGATACAGGGTTTTGAATGAATAATTAATATCCGAGGAAAGGATAGATTTAAAAAGCTTCAAATTACTCCCTTACGGAAAAGTTGTCCCATTTCTCTAGCTACTGAGCCATGGATGTTGATTTTAGTGAAAAAAGGTTCTATTATCTGTTAAGGATAGGTGCTAATGATTTAAGATGAATTTATTCTAAGATCTCTCTCAACTGAAAGACAATTGTTTTTTTTCCTCATTTTGTTGGAAAGTAAATCATGTAAGATTGTAATTAAGAGAAGAAAAAAAATGAAAGCTATATAAATTCTATTTTTGGTCATCAGCCATTGTTTCTAAGTTGTCTTCGTCTTTTAGGTGAAGTATTTATTAGTAAATCTGCCACAGTAATTGGTAATTTCCAATCACCCTTGCCGCTTTATTAGCCATTGGCTGGCACAGTCCATCAGTGATGGCGGACTTGGCTAAATCTGTGTCTGCTGGCTTGTGAAAGCAGACAGAGCCCACTTTTCTGGTTGTTTATTTATGGCCATCGTAAAATCAAAGTCACCTATAATCAACATTCAGACAGCAACCCTAGAGAAAGTACAGCTTCCTCAGGTCAAAAAGCAAATAAAGCTGCTCAATTTTTTCCTTTAATGGGTGAAATTGGAACAAATCAACTTTGTAGTTAAAAGAAAAAAAAATATTGTTTTCTCTTTTATCAGAATTATGAGTTTTAGTTTCAGCTGAATTGCTGATTTTCATGTTTTTCTTATGATGAATGCTATTAAAAACTTGCTTATTAGTTGGACAGTTTTCATTTGTTAGTACTAAGTACATTTGTACTTAATCATTTTAAGAATGACATTCTTGTAATTACTGGAAACTGTCACAGGAAAGAAAAACTAAGTATATTGTAAATTTACATCTTTTGAAATCCTTTAAATTTGTGATTTGGATATGGAAAAAAAAAGTAATGGTTCATCAATAATCACTGATCTCACATATGAGTTTTAGTTCATGTTTTGGCTCTGTGTTTAGATATTTTAAGAAACACCTCCTTCGTAAGATTTATTGGCAGTGTGAGTTTAAAAGTGATACCAGTACTATAAAGAGGGGGAAGCCATCACTGACAAGGAAAAACAGTCGAAAGTTACTGATAAAGCTGCATCTGCCTTCCCTCATCATCAGAGAGTTTTAAAATGAATTCATGTTTCTTCATACAACTATGGGGTCACTGATAAGATTACGAAATGTTGTAAGAAAAGCTTCTCTTATTTTTTTTAATTTTTTTTTTACGTTCCTTCTATTCACATCAGATAAGGTTACAAGTTGTAGAGTAAATTCCTTACGTACACATCTTCGTTTATGTTGTAATAAACATACAGTGTGTATGAATATTTATAGTAAGGCGATTCTATGGATAATGCAGTAAGGCACACGATTTTGTAGTTTTGCCTTATTTTTTATCTGTATTAATTTAAGTAAACAATATGTACACCCATAAATCATCCTGCTTAGCTCCCATGAAATACAATCTCGTAAAAACATGACAGGCACATCAGCTGAAATCTTGATGGAATTTCGAGGTTTTTTTTAGGTTAATTGCCCATATGATGCAATGACCTACCTTTTGCCACCCCTTACTTTCATTGTATGGTGACATGATATGTGAAAAAAAAAAAATGAATGACCATTGACCTACATTTTAAATGAAGTCGATGACCATAAAACATTTAGTCCATGAGAACATATTGTATGATAATATGCCATAGTTATTAATTACTGAAATATAATATAACTAGTCATATGGTTAATGGAACTGCTTCATGGCATTAATGAATTACTGTATATAATGTGATAGGGTTGACTAATTCCATAGCATCCACAGAATGTGTAAAATATCTATGGTTTCTTGCATGTGCTTTGTCATTTAAATCTTAACGACATCATGCAATTCCCAAATGTTAATTTAAATGCCTCCCTTTTGCCTTAATGGAACTCAAACTTGTGGGCTTTAATGATAATATAAAAGCTTTTTGATATTTTCAACCATGCCTTCATGCAATGAATGTAATTAAAGTTTAAAAAACTCATTTATCTGGGCTGTTTACAAAAAAAATCTCGGAGGTTAAAAAAGGATTTGGTTGTGCTTCATTTAGCAATAAAGCCTTCATACCAGGCTGTACATGTGAACCTATTGAATTTATTCCAAACGGGCCATACCCCCTTAAAATAGAGAATGAGGTCACTCTGGCAATGATACCCCCCACCATTAATACAACATGAAATCTGATACCCTATGATCCTCCTATCCCAAATTAGGACAGTAATTGCACTTTAAAATTGAATTATATAAGTAAATAATATTATTTATTTAAGTGAAATAAAACTTTTGTTCCATGGCTTGGAGGGGATAAAAGGGAATTCTTAAACAGTGCAGTATTGATCGATTAATGACGATGTCCTTATGATTTCCTCTGTTTACTACAGGACAAAGCCTTTATGTACTCACCGATTTTTCTATGGTACAGTCATCTTACATGTTTTAAGTATCGACCTCCAACAAAATTGTAATACTACAAGGAAAGTATCTGAGAAGGTTGTTCACCCAAATCCTGCTGGGGGGAGATGAAAAAAAAATAAAGATGCTTTATTAAGACTGGCACTTGGCCAAGGCTAAAAACAACAATTTTCGGATTACAGAATTATTAGTAATAAAAAAAGGAGAAGAGGAAAATAATGATTTGATGCGTGTGTGTGTTTGTTTATTGGGGTCTTTCCAGGTCATTTTCAGAACACCTAGGTCATTGTTTGACTCCATGATGTCATGTGGCAATGTCATGGTGATGAATTATACTAATGGATTTAAAGCCTATTGTTCCAAGCAAGAAATGTAATCCCAGTATACAGTAGAGGGAAAAAATGTCATAAAAATACAGATTATATGCCTTTATTTGACCTATAGAAAAATACTTGTAAATGTATAGTGTTTTCCTGGGGTAGTTTTCAATCCTGATGAGGATTTTTGTATTCAGGAGTGGGAAGGCAATTTTCATAATTTCCGCTGTACCTAGGATCGATTATATAGCATATGAAGAATATAAGGGGAAAAAAAGTAGAATGGGGCCCCATTAACTGATCAATAGGCATCTGTAGCCATTGAAGTGAGAAGAAAGCTTTCTGATTAAAACAGTGCTGTGATCCCGCATGCGTAAACACATGTTGCTCATCGTGGCAGGTTTGTTGAGCTAATTAAGAGTTATAAGCAAACAAACCCAGGGGCGTTTTTTTCTCCTCTCAAATGCGCAAAAAATATATTAGTGTTTTGTGCCTTTCATAAAAAAACAACAAATGAATGTTTACTGCGAACAAGTCAGCATGCTTATGAATTATGACACAGGCAAGTAAGCAGATAATGAGCTGCCATGAAGCATGTATCACAAAAAATTATCCCCTTCTTCGTTTTATTTCTACTTTATAAGTTTTTCAATAGGTCATGTCAGGAGATCATTACATTTATTTCCTGATGAAGAAGCATATTTTCATTGATTGATTCTATTCTTGATCAAAACAAACATAAGAGGGACATTTTTTTGGGGGGGGGGGGAACTGTTAAAGCATTATGTGGGGGGAAAAAAAAACATATTTTAAAGTATCCCTAAAGATTTCATTTCATTATAAATTCATTATGTGGAATTATATTACATTAAACATCAAAGATAGAAGTGGGAGGGAGATTTTACAGATGAGAAGGAGAGTGTTTTGGTGGGTGTACATGTGTGTGTTGAGTGTTTACAGTAGGGGGGAAAAGTTGCATGCTACAGTGCCACTTGTTATTTTATGTTGTATAATCATCCCTTAATTTTTTGGCAAGTGCTCTAGGACTCAAGATTTTCTCTTCCAGGTGCTTCACACAGTCTAATGATTTAAGACGACATGAAAGAAATGTCCACATGAGGGGAAAATTGACTAACTATCGGAGTCCAATTGCTCCGTCAAGCCGTAACACAAGTCACATGAATCTAGCCACGTACCAGGCCTTTGCCATGCAGCAGAGGGCGCTGCTACACCATGCTCTGACCTATGAGAGTCTGATGCAGAGTGCTGTTGTCACACAAGCAAGGTAGGAAGGAGATAGAGGCAAAGTTTATTCAAACGGCATTACATCAGTTTTACAGAGCTAACGAATCTATATAAAACTTAAGAATATTGCAAGAAAATTTTAGTGAGTTCCCAGTGATTAAGGTTATCAAAAAAAAAAAAATTCTACAAAATTTTGAATTATATCTTGATAAAACAAATTAGAGTATAACATTTTTTTGGCCATCTTTGAAAATTTTTATATGTGTTTTACCAATATTGTTAGTTGTACATTCCTTTAATCAAGAATGATAACATAAGATGTATGAGGTATGGTAACCTGATGTTTTATTTGTAGGTTGATGCAGGCAGGAGGTTCCACTGTTTCGTTGCCTTCGATGAGTGCCCCATCGGACACCAACGTGTCTACCTCATCAGATTCCCATCTGCGTCGCCCGATGGGTTCGCCCGACTCCATTAAACTGGAACAGGTCACACCCCCATCTTCACCCAACAGCAACAGAGAACGCTCACTCTCTAACCCTGGGCTGGTGAACTCTGCAGTGGGTGGGGACCAGCTCTACGTGGCTCCCCGATCCAGCAGCACCTCAGCTGTAAGTTAGTTGTGTTCTAAAAATGAAGGAAGCCAAGGTTTCCTAGCAGAAATTATTTTTAAAATTTATTATTTAATCTTAAAAAAAAAACCAAAACTTTAAATAATTGTCTAGAAGTCCTGCATGTGATGAAAATAATTTTTTATAATGGTAATATACTTGAGATGACAGGAGTTGTCTTTCTTTGTTTCGTGTTTATGCTAAAAACTTGCTCATTGTAGATAAGTGCAGGTTTACTGCATTCACCTCCTGTGCTGTCGACTTCCACCTATTCTGGATACGTGGCTGGCAGTAACTCAGTCAATGGAAGTCCACCCGCCCTTGCCCAAGTCACTGCCACAATGTCTCCCACACTGTCAGGATACAAGTAAGAAGAATTTATCACTCTCTTGATAGTAAGATGAACTGATGATTTATTTTAATTTTTTTTTTTTTTTTGGTGTTAGGCTAAAAAGATTTTAAATATTCAGACACCATTGGTTAAACAGAAAGCATTATAATTATTTACCAAATAACTCTGAAATTTACGTTAAAGAATTGTGTGTTTTATGAGAACAGTATTTAAGAACTCTTAAGTTGCTTTGAAAGTAAGGAAAAAGTAAAGAGACAAAAAACTTTAGAAATATTTATTTTCACAAAGCTAACTTTGAAGTTCTTTATAAAGTGAGTTAGACAAGAGACGAATATCATGGTTAGTCATATTTTGGTGTTTCAATGATGACCTTTTTAACAGGTTGTCATTTGAATCTGCCTCGACCTCAAGTCTACCTCACTCAGCCCTGAGACGACTACCTCCAATATCATCTATTTATAGTAACCACCTGAATACCTCAGTCACTGACAACAAAGTCATTGACCTCAGTATGAAGTCCACAAGTAGCGGGGAGTCCGAGGACGGTGACTGGAAGTCTCGCATCATTGCAGAGCATTTCAAGCGTGAAGAAACAAGCCTCATCGCCTCAAAGAGTCCCCCAGTCTCAGAAACAGAAAGCGATGAAAAGCGGGATGTGACAACCACATCTATCACACCAACAGGTGACTCGGGAATCCATCATTGTCCTCACTGCAACATCTTCTTTCATGACTTCACAATGTACCACCTCCACAAGAGCCTGCATTCACCCTTGGACAACGATCCCTTCCGATGTCCTTCATGTCAGAAGCACTGTCAGGACCGCATAGAATTTATGTTCCATATTGTTTGGCATGTGAAGTATCCACACACCATCCCTAACTATGAACCTTTTAAGGAGGAGTACCAGACTTAACTGGTTCTCTGCAGTGGATAGAAGTAAGCATAATGGTAGGTGGCACAGGATCGGGTAACTGTTTGCTTTCTGCACTGTATCTTCTTATTTTAAAGAAATTCTCAGTCTTGTACTTTGTGACCCAGTAGTATTTAATTACAAGAGCAATTTTAATCAAAGGAGAATAGTAATTTGTATACATAATAATTTTTTATGAGTTACTGTAGCATCTCATTATCTAGATGTATTGTTGACTTGTTTTCAGATGAACCTCAATAGAAGTGCAATACATCATCCCCATCCACTTGGTATCCTTCCTAGAAGTTCAAAGTTAACTTTGAAACCTTTTAGGTGTACAAAGTTCACTCCTGAGCCTTCCTTGAAGTTCAAAGTTGATAGCTTTTGGAGTTCCAAGTTCAGTCCTTTGAACTTTGGATCAAGTCAGGTTAAGGGGGGATAATCCCCCTCTATGTAATTATGTATCTGTAATACAAAGAGATCTCGCTATGTGTAGACTGGTGTGTAATGGAGGACACCAGTAGAATCGTCTCTCAGTGTTTGACCTATTAAATGTAATCTTGACATGTGAAAACTTTTACCTTAGTACCTTTAACTCAAGATTTTTTGTTGAATTTATGTATGTGTATCCAATTTTTGAAAAATCATTCATGGTATATTTTTGAATTGATTTATATTTCTTCATACTCCTTCCCAATTTGAAAAAAAAAAAGTATGTTTAGCAAAATACAAAAACACTTCATTTGAAAATCCATAACCTGGGGAGATTTTTGTTTGATTAAATGGTTTTACGGGTTTTGCATTTGCTCATTAGGACATCTATATTGAAAGTTAGGTCAGTTTTGGCATTACTATTCTTTATCAAATGCTTTATAAAGTATGTTGGAATTTGAAGATGGAATCTTGGTTCAAAAACTTTAAAATAATCATTAATGTCCAGTTTCTTTCTGTCTTCCTTGGTTTGTAGTATTGATAAATAAGCGAAGGGGGAAAAAAGTAAAGAAAAAAGATTGTTTCATTGTTTATCTAAATTTATTTTGATATAGTTATTGATTATATGACTAGTGCTATTTCATTATACTTACTTAGTGCTATGAAGAGACGAATTCATTTATTTAGGTATCATCATTTATAGTAAAAGCAGGCTTCAGCAAGGCTGACCTTTTGACACTGAAGTGTCATAAATCCATGGTAATGGTAGGGATCCTTTCTATCTCCCTAATCAGAAGAAGTCCACCAGGGGAGACATTTAACCTCAAATAGTACTGTTTTGTGCCAGTGAAATTTTTTGTCTTATTTGATAGGAAAACCGATAATACGGGTATAATATTTTGTGTCTTGAGCTCATCTAAAGCACATTAACAAACATACAAGTGTATTTAATTTTAACCAAGATTCCTACCTGAATACCATTGTCATCCTGTTATATTTATAAATCATGTGATATACACATCGTCTCTGTATTCATGTTTACTGAAGAAACTTGTGCCATATGTTTTTTTTATCATTGTGTTCGGGAGAATTAAAACTTCCTGATAGAACTTTTATACTGTTATTTTAGGGAGCTTTTTTTTTCATGTTCATAGAGAACAAACCTGTATTTTATGTTGATATTTAGATTATATGTTCATTTTTGTTATGTTTTGGATATGTTCTCTTGATCAGTAAGAGGTTGTTAGGATTTTTTTTTTTTGCGAAAAAAGAGTTTTAATTTCCGTTAAGACTAAACTATTTAATAGGCAACCTTTTGGTGCATAACAATAATTTTTAGAGATTTTTCCTTTTGGTCCTGATGATAGAGCAGACCTATTTGAATGCTAAATACCACTAGTCCAGGACAAAATTTTTCGCTCTGGTTAATGGTTAAAATGGGGGCGTTTAAGTGATTTATCTCATGTGTTCACCGCAAATTTAACCAAAACATAAAATTTTGCTCAGCAGTTCAAACATAAATTGAAGCTGCTTCAGAACGCAATTATTCCACCGGTGAATGAAATTGCAAGCCATAATTTCATGCTAATTTTCATGACTTACACTTTAATATCATTCAAAATCAAAATGAATATACTTCATCGGTAGATTAGAATAATTTTACAGGAGTATTCAATACATCTTAAGAAATAATTTTAGGGTTTAGATTATTATCTGTTTATCTTTTTTAATGTCAAAATTTTAAAAGTTATTAACATTTTTTGCGAGTGAATATCTTTTTTTGAGGAGTTGAAATACAAACGGGCCATATGGCCCAATGTCCGGTGAGAAACACACTACATCTGCTGAATACAGAAGTTGCATTTCATTCCAGGGTGAAGATTTCTCTGTCATTGCCATATTTGAAGCCTCCGGTGTGTATATTGTCTCGTTAATGGTGTTCAAACACAATTTTTTTTTTCTATGAACTAGCTAGCTAGAAAACACTTTGAACAATACTGAGTGATCTGTAAATCAAAACTGAACTGCACAAGTCAAAACGATAACATCAAAACTTTGATTATTTTTGCAATATACTTTATATTTAGATTTTTAATTCTACAATTTTTTAAAAACATGGAGTGGAATTTTTTTTTTGTCTTGTTTCTTGCTGTCCTGCATTGTTTTCTGTACAGGGGATAGTGCTGTTGGTCCGGTGTTTAAATCTATGTTGTTATGTGTTGTGTTTCAACGTGAATGAGTAGACACTCTTGTTTTGGAAAACAGAAGAAAGACACTGATGAAATGTAGAAATCAGTGCTATATGTTGATTGTATATAACTACTGTACTCATTTTTTTCATCTTTATGTATTGTAGTCTCTCTTTCCCCCATTTTACAAAATGAATTCTGATTTAACTTGTTAAAAAACAAAAGATTCATTAAAATCTTGTTATTGTTTTCTCAAATACACATATTTCTTCTATTTTGGAAAAGGACGTTTTAAAAACAAATTCATCTCGTATCTTTTTCTCTTCCTTCACATGTAAGCTTTAAAGTTAGTTATAAATTGTCTGCGCTAGATATAATTAAGAACATGTGTAAAGAGAGGAGATTTTATCCTGAAGATCATTTAATACCTCTTTAATGTTTGTTCTTTATTTATTTTCTAATCTCAGGATTGCTTTAATATACATATGCATATGGTATTTTTATTTTTCCATGTATCCATGACCTTGACCCTTGACATTTCACCTTTCACTATGTTACATCTTAAACTCAGGAGTCTTGTTGTCAGACGGGTAGCAGACGACAAGTGAATTATGATCTACCTCATTTTTGGAGTAATTCTGTATATATACGTAATACCTATAGCTTTGGTAATATTCTATGTGCAACTGTTTCTTGGTTTTTTTTTAACTTTCTGTGCTTAACTGTATTATTTTTTCTTGGTAAGATTTTGGCGATGGGGATCATTCTGTAGGAGTTGGGTCTTTACATTTTTGTCAAGGAGTAAAATTAAGTTAACCCAGGTTGTTGAAGAAATATTTCTTATTAATGAGAGAGCGTGAGGAGTTATTTTTGTAAGCCAAAGGAGTAAGCTGTTAGATTTTTTCATCTCTTGGTCATAGCCTTTTCAACTTTGTTAAGTCCTACTTGTATGTGTAAGCTTTTAATATCTGGGTGTTCAAGGCCTTTTATTCAAATATATATTGTTTGCTGTATATAGTTATACCTGTATATTGTCTAAAGGTATTGCTTCTCATGTATATTTTGTATAGTTACTTATCAAATGTTGGATCCATTGTAAATGTAATAGATATATAAATATATATATATATATATATAGGTTTTGTTCAGGTGATATTCCAGCAATGAGTAAAGATTGATTTTATCAAATTGATGTTACTAATTTAAAAGCAGAATTTTTACACCAATATCAAGCACACACTTTTATTGAGAGACATTCTGGATAAACTTTGTGTTTGATATATATATCATTGTCTATGTTTTGTACAGTTTTATGACTCTTTGAAGTTGTTTTATTTTCTAATGCATAATTTTTAGATTTTGTTAAAAATGAAAAGATAGTGTCATAGATAATTTTATTCTATAGATTTGAATACCTCAACAAAACCAGATGTAAATCCAGGGATAAAGTAGACCATGTTTCAATTAACAGTATTTTTTACATCAGAAAGTAAATCCAAAGAGCTCTACCTCAGTAAGGCAATTAATAACTGCCAGCAAATCCACAGAATTTGATTAATTACCTCAAAACTTGTAACGACTGCACCATATGTTGAACATGAAAGCTGAATCCGAAGTTTGCTGATATTTTTGTATAGATAATTAAATTTTTGAAACTACCTCAGAAAAAATTTTTTTCTGCCCTCCTCCCCCTTCAAGCAATGTACTATTGGTAATTATTTATAGTCCTTTGAACATTATGTGGTTAATGAAGGACTATTACTGCTTGTGTAACTGTGTCTTTAAGTTCTTTTAAGCTAGTAATATTGTATGTATTTTTTTTTTTTTTTATTTATTTTTTTTTTTTTTACAATTTTTAGGGAAGGCATTGCAATTCTACTATGATCCGTTATTATAATAAAGAATTGTGATGGGAAATGATTTTGATATATTTCAAATAAAAATAGCAATGAAATTTTGAACATATTTCTGGCCAGTTATAGGTTTATGGCAAACAATGATGGGAAAAAAGATAAACAAAGAATTGCAGTGTCTTCTCAGTACCATGAGAAAGAACAATAACTCATGCTTCGTGACCCGGTGACCTTTGGATCTGCTGGTACAATCACTAATGCAACATGTTATATAGTGCTACACTGCCAAGCTTGTATTCTGCTGCATAACCAAACTGTATTTTTTTTTAATGAAGTTAATATATTGGAAAAAATTTTATATATTGTTGTTGTGTTAGTGAATTTGAAGTTTTGAATGAAAAAAAAGCAAAATCTTTTGTAAGATGAAGAACGTTTACATTCTATTCTTTAACATACCTATGGTTGTAAAGATTATAAAATCAAAATTGTATTTGAAATCAAACTAGGGACCATTTATAACTGAGTGATTTTTTTTAAAAAAAATTATAAGTGACTGCTTGACCACACACATTTATTGTGGGAAATAGAATGTGAATTCTTTTTGCGTTATAACTGCGACACTTTTTGCGTCTCAAGTGCTTACGAGTTAACATGTTGCATTATGGATTAAGTGTCTATTGATGTTTATGTAAACCACAGCTATGTCATATATTTCCTCTAGAAATAAAAAAAAATATTAACAGCTTTTCTGTTATTTATTTTATCATAAGGAGTACAAAATGCAACAAAAAGGCAATAGCATCCAGCTAAATTCGATCAAGGATCTGGATCTACGAGTATAGCGTGCATACGCTCTTGACATGCTAATGATGTGACAAAGAACCGGTACATGTATATCTGTAGGCATCTCACAACTTCCTGAGCATGTCATTCAAGCCATTACCAGAGGGTTTATGCTTGAATTGATTAAACCAGGGACCTATTTACATTCTTGCTTTAACCAATGCAATAGGCACTCCAAAAATATATGTATTTTCTGCACTTACATATGTAATACAGGGCAAGGCTTCGGATCGTCTTTTTATCAATGTCGTTCTTTCTTTCTTTTCTTTTTTTAAGATTTGTCATTAAAATGTACTAAGTACAATAAAGCTGCTTGCATGTCTTCACTCACATTTTTTGCGAATTCTCACATTTCTTTGTGCAACTTCGGTGCTGTCACCACAATTCTGGAAAGGAGGGCTTATTGAAGGGATGCCCCTCCCATAAGCCAGATTTTTATAAATGGGTACCAATTTGATGAATCTTGTTGCATTCTAGACATGATTTTCTAATATAAAATTAACATAAAGTAGCAATATTATCTTAATCAGATGAATGATGAATTTACCATGTATTTTGTTTCAATAATCAATTTTCTCATCTGAGCTGAAGACTCGAGTGAGCTTTTCTGATCAAAATTTGTCAGTTGTCTGTCGTTGTTGTTGTCGTCATCATAAACTTTTTACAATTTCATCGTCTTCTCCAGAACTACCGGGCCAATTTCAACCAAACTTAACACAAAGTATGCTTGGGAAAAGAGGATTCAAGTTTGTGCAAATGAAGGGCAACACCCTATCCCAAGGGGAGATTATTCAGAAATATAAAAATAGGATGGGTCATTTGAAAATCTTTTCAAGAACCACTGGGCCAGAAAAAATGAAACTTTTGTGAAAGCTTCCTGACATATTGTAGATTCAAGTTTGTTCAAATCATGACCCCCTGGGGTAGGGTGGGGCCACTATGGACGATAAAATTTTCTCATTGGTATATATAAGACAAGAGGCCCAGGGACCACATCGCTCACCTGAGCACTATGGCTAGGAAAAAGCAGAAATCAGTTCAGTCTTGAAAAGTTTAAATATAAAAGTGGTGGTGGTGGTGGTGGGGGGGGGGGGTGATTTGAACTATCTTGAATCTATACTTCATAGGGATGCTTTTGAAATAATAAGACAAATAATGGCTTTGCTGTTCTTAAGAACAAAATTTTTATTGATATATCATTTGTATTCCTTTGTATAACTATGATCCCCTGTTATGGCCCCTTTATTCTCCTGGGGGTTCATGACAAAGAATCTACATCACCTGAGGATGCTTCCATATAAATATACTGGCTTTGCTGTTCTTAAGAAGAAGATTTTTAAAGATTTTTCCTATGTAAAATTTTGATCGCCCATTGTGGCTCCACCCTAGCCCCGGGGTCAGGATTTGAACAAACTTAAATCTACACTACCTGAGGATGCTTCAATAAACATAAAACCAATCATGGCTTTGCTGTTCTTGAGAAGATTTTTAGAGATTTTCCCTATGTATTCCTATGTAAAACTTTGATTGCCCATTGTGGTCCCACCTACCCCCGGGGTCATGATTTGAACAAACTTGAATCTACACTACCTGATAATTCTTCCATATAAGTTTCATATTTTCAAGCACAGTGGTTCTTGAGAAAAGATTTTTAAATGATGCCATTAAGTTTTCACGAATTCATAATTATCTCCCCTTGGAAGAAGGCGTGGCCCTTCATTTCAGGAAACTTGAATCCCATTTACCCAAGGATTCTTTGTGGCAAGTTTGGTTGAAATTGGCCCAGTGATTCATGAGAAGAAGATGAAAATGTGAAAAGTTTACGACGACGACAAAGACGACAGACGACGGACAAAGTTCGATCAGAAAAGCTCACTTGAGCCTCGGCTCAGGTGAGCTAAAAAAATCTTCTCAAGAAAAGGAAAGCCATGCTTCACCACATTTACCTCAAAGCATCCGTAGGTAATTTTGTTCAAATCGTGTCCCCCAGGGGTAGGGTGGGGCTACAATGGGCAACGAAGTTTTACATGGGTATATATAGGGAAAATCTTTAATAATCTTCTTCTCAAGAACAGCAAAGTCATGATCAGTCATATATATATGGAATCTGCCACAGATAGTGCATATTCAAGTTTGTTCAAATACCCCCCCCCCCCCCCTGTATAGGGTGGAGCCACAATGGGTAATCAAGTTTTACATAGGAAAGCATAGAAAAAATCTTTAAAAATCTCTTTTTCCAGGAGCAGCAAAGTCATGATTGGTCATATTTATATAGAAGCATCCTCAAATAGTGTAGATTCAAGTTTGTTTTAATCATCAGGTCCTCGAGGTAGGGTGGGGCTATGGGTGATCAAGTTTTAAATGGGAAAACAGGAAAACAGTCTGGTGATGAAGTACAAGAAGGGCCATAGTTACTCAGGTGAGCGTTGTGGCCCATGGGCCTCTTTGATATTTTAAAGGGGATGCGATCGCACCAAACACCCCTTTCTTCGACATTCTTATATGTACCGGGTACTTGTTTCCGCCCAAAAGGGCACAATTAAAGGCTATTGATTAACATGTACGTCATCTGATAATTGTTTTCTTTGTCTCATAGAGCTAGTTTAATGTTTATTTACACATGATTTTCGCTCAAAGTCGCCTTTGATCAAACAATTTTTGCCTAGATATTTGTATGTATAAAAAAAATATGACACCCAATTGCTACGTAGCGATGCGTTCAAGAAATTTCTCAAATATTCCTTCCCATCTTCATAAAGGTAAATAGAAAATAAAAACTGTGCCATTACAGTAAGTATTGAGAAATTGTATAGAAGATATAATTTTTATTTTTAGTTTTATTTTCAACAAAGATAGGTTTTGATTATGGTAGTTATTTACCGTTCAGATAGGTTGTCTTTTTGCAAAGAAAATCTGGTTCTTTGTACGCAAGAAGTAGGGTGATAGAGTAAACTTCAATCAGAAGAGAGGGAGGCAGGGTGATAGAGTTACTTTGAAATATGGAGATAGCGAACAGTATTCAAGTTCAAAGTCCATTTAGACAATACAAATCGGGGGAATGGAGAGCAAACACGGACCTCCATAAACATCAAAGGTGGGATCAGGTGCCATGGAGGAGTGAGCACCCGCCGTGTGCTCCTTGTCATGATCGGGAAAAACGGAAAAAAAATTGCAGACAATTCAGTGTGTAAATAATGGCCTAACAATTAGTATGAAAAACGGAAGAGATGAAAGCAGGATGATACAGTAACCTTCGATCGGAAAGAAGCAGGGTGATAGAGTAGCCTTCAATCAAAGGGAAGCAGGGATATAGAGTGACCTTCAATTACAAGAGATTGAAGCAGGGTGAAAGAGTAACCTTTAATGACAAGAGATGGAAGCAGGGTGATAGAGTAACCTTTAATGACAAGAGATGGAAGCAGGTTGATAGAGTAACCTTTAATGACAAGAGATGGAAGCAGGGTGAAAGAGTAACCTTTAATGACAAGAGATGGAAGCAGGTTGATAGAGTAACCTTTAATGACAATAGATGGAAGCAGGGTGAAAGAGTAACCTTTAATGACAAGAGATGGAAGCAGGGTGATAGAGTAACCTTTAATGACAAGAGATGGAAGCAGAGTGAAAAAAGTAACCTTTAATGACAATAGATGGAAGCAGGGTGATAGAGTAACATTTAATGACCAGAGATGGAAGCAGAGTGATAGAGAGATCTTCAACCAGAAGTAAGCAGGGAGATAGAGTAATCTTCAATCAGCACTTCGTGCTCGGTCTGTAAGCTTTTCAGCGATGTCAATATATCTATGGATTGCTGAATGAAAGGGCTACATTTGTTATATAATTTTTTTTTACAGAGATTGACAAAACAAATTTTAAAATAATGGGAACAAGCCACAAGTTGTATCTCTTGTCTTTTTAATTTTTACACATAGAGACTAGAGATAAAAATAAATTAAGTTGTTTAATATAATTGTGTTTCCTTTATACTGATAGAATAATTTATGGATTTTTTTCATTGAAAAGGCAACATTTGTTTTATTATGTTTTGTATCGTTTTATGAAAACATATCTAACATATTTTAATATAAAGTTGATCGTTATTAAAGGCATTGTTACGTCTTACAAATGATTACAGAACATCACAATTATTAATAGAAGTTGAAAGATCTTTTTTTTTCAGAATCGTCAAGTCATACACTGTATTAGCTATTGTGAAGCCAGCACTATCGTTGTTTTACAGAATATTATTTCCATTTTTAGAAACATCAAGTCGATATGCATTTCAGAATCTTTAAATAGTAACACAAGTCTATATGCTGTTATATACTTGATCATATGATCACCTTTGAGCCAATCAGAGAGCTTGGAATAAATGAGAAAAATTATATATATATATATATATATATATATATATATATATATATATATATATATATATATATATATATATATATATATATATGACGGCCGGTGTGGAAATGCTTACTCTTCCATGGCACATGATCTTCAGGGGAATGTGTTTGCTCAGCTATTTATAATCTGTATTGTATAATTGGCCTTATTTCGAGCATAATTGCTGTTCGTTATCTTCACATATTTTTTTTTTTATTGTAACGTTTTACAGACATCGTCTTTAGTCGTTCAGACAAAGTCTTACAGACAAGTCTTTTCTGTAAAATTCTACAAAATACTATGAATTTTTTTTTTAATTTTTAAATCATGATCGACCTCCAATTAGCTTTGCTTTTCCCATGTTATCGCTTGTATATGAATATATGTTTGTGTGTTTGTTTCTTATGCATCATTTATGTGATTTTTGAGTGAATAAATGAACTGAATTGAGCTGTAGCACCTGAAGTACTCTGGCCATACCCTCGGCAAATGACTTCTGTATTACTGTATCAGGAAGAGAGATTTCTAACATCGCACTTGACATTGCATACAGTATTTAGCCAGTAATGGGGAAGATCTATTCATAGAATTCCTCGGCAAACACTTGATATAAGTACAGAGTGCTTTTTGTTTTTCTGGGTGGTATATATCAGGTGAGGACAGTCAGACGTTTACATGTATATAGATGTGTTTACTTGTACCTATAGCTGCAGGGATTCATGTCTCCCTGCGTAGTAAACTTAGCAGACCTGTAGCTCACTGGTGTGTAAAAATGGGATAAAGGGACGATCAAAGATCGTGCATCCAATTTGTCCAGTAGGCTACAGATCTGCAAAATATCGTACACACTTCTGCGTTAACTCTTCAAATTAATCCGTTCAAAAATGTTTTTACTGTCTTTTAGATAGGGTTTTTATCATCATAAAGGATTGAAATCAACAATTAAATTTTCCAAGAAAGCAAACCTCCGATAAAAATAACATGCTTGAACTGTTAAAATGATGTCATGATTAATTACGAACCCAGGTTTATTGTTTTTTATTAATCTTTATCACAGTACTAGGAAGATTTGCAAACCGAATTCTCAATACGAATCTGGTTTAGGTTGTAAGCAAACATCGTCAACATTAATTGTAGTCAAAATATAAACATGCAATCATACCTAACTACATTGCTTTTAGTTTCGACAGATTCTTGTTTCAATGTTTATCTGGTAAAATTTCAAGGCGGTGGATTTTACCTAGAGCTTTAATCTACAATTATTTTCCACCTTATTTAGGAATTATATGCATTTATTCATTGAAATATATATATGTATACATTGTTACCTTAATATTCAGGAATTGTATACATATGCTTTTATACGATGAAGTATATTATACAACAATTTTGTCAATTATAACCTCACCAGAAAAAACTAGAATGATACTTTCATAACTACATTTCGTAAGATCTTTAAGGTGGTATGAAATAACAAACGAAATTTCTCCTACATATTCATTTGCCTAAATTAGTAGGATTCTAAATACCCCCACCTTTCAGAATGTTATATTGTAATTTTGATATTTTTTTTTAAATTAATTTAATAGAAAAAAAATACAAAATTGATTTTTTTCTTATATAATTTCTTTTTTTTCAAAAGCTTGATATTATAAGCAAGAGTTAATTAATATAGTGCTGATTTAAAAACAAAAAAGATAAGATGTAAGTCTCGTTACTTTTTTAATTAAAAAAAAAACTTTCACCCGATGATAAGCACTCAGCCAGATCAGAACAACACTTCAAACGGAAACTACAGTGCAGGGAAATAATTTTGTTACATAAACCAGCATCAGCATAAGCATTAGTAGCATCAGCATCAGCATTTAAAAAACAGCATTACCAGGTTCAGGATCAGCAAGCAAAGGATAGAACTAGCATAGCTAGCATTGACCTAGATTTAAAAACCAGCATTGACCTACTTAAAATCAAGCAAAGGAAGCATTCAAATCAGCATTGATGCTGTAACAAAATTAGTTCCCTGCACTGTATACTTGTACGTCATAACATGGAGATATCCCATGCTACCTTAAACTGCTGTCATTACGTCAGAAGGCGCGGCTATGATATCGAGTAGGAAGAGAAATGTAAAGAAGCCAGATAGGGGAAAGGCAATAAAAGGGGCCCTCAATATGTTTCTGTGATGTAAAATATTGTGTACGTAATAAGTATCTATTCTTGGTGTTTATGGGGATGAAAACAGGCATTTTACGAACACGGTGATCCCATAGGCTATCATCTCATGTACACTGAATAAACAGATATTCCTTAAATATTCAGCATGATAAAAATATTCCTTAATATACCTTATGTTTATCTACTGATTCGGCAATCAACTAATAATTAACTTTTTTCTTGAAACCCCATTTATTTATTTCCTTCAAACAATTCATATAAAATATAAATACGGAGAAGACAATTGAATGTAAAAGTATAAAATGTGAAATGATTGTAAAAGAACAAAAATAACAGTCTCATAACACCATATTGTAAAACAGTTCAATACGTGCGTCACAAACATAATTCAATGTTTAATACTTATTTATATGAGTTTATAGCATATATTACTTATTTTGGCACGGCGAGGGACATGCAGCCATTAGTCACAAGAACTACTTTTCCGAGTCAATTTTTCTTGAGCTTCTTGGCGAATCATCGGCGTCCGTTTGAACCTCACCGGCTTTGAGAGTATCAGGCGGATCTCGTTGTTTGTAGGCGGATTGTGACTCTACATTGACCGTACACCGCTGCTTCAGATTCTCCATTTTACCTGGGAAAGATTTGATTTTATTGTCGGACACATTCAGTTCTGTGAGATTTGGAAGTTTGCATATATTATCTGGAAGAGATTCCAGTAAATTGTCCGACACGTCTAGAAACTCTAAACTCGTCATCTTTATTATGTCTCCTGGTAGGCATGTTAGGTCATTGCACGCCGCCTTCAGAACCTGAACTCGGTATAAATATGGCATATCGGTCGGTACGACGTTTATATGGTTCTTGGAAACATCCAGATATATCATGGACGCTAACACGTCCCATCTGTCCTCTGGTAAACCCATTAACTCGTTGTTTGATAAATCCAAGCGAATCACTTTGTTTAGTTCTCCGAAATTTTCCGGCAATTCCATGATGTTGTTGTAGGACATGTTGATTTCTTCTAACTGATGCAGAAGGCAAAGTCCATTCGAGAAATGCTGAATTTTGTTTTCGGAGGCGTTCAACTTTCGCAGATTTTTCATATTGCTTATACTATCTGGAAGATCAGCCAGTTCATTGTTCGATACGTCCAGTTCTTCCAGAAGTCGAAGTCTGCAAAGTTCATCGGGAATGACCTTGAGGATGTTACTCCGCAAATTGAGCTTTTTGAGGAGTTTCATATGACTCAAGGTACTTGGTACCTCATCTAGCTTGATGTCTTCAATTTCGAGAACAGTCATCTGCGATGCCCACGTCTTTTCACCAAGAATTGTCAGTACAGATTTTGGATCCACGGAAGGGAGTGATACCGGATTTGAGGATAAATTCAAAGATGTCAACGTTTTTGGTAAGGTGAGCTCGGTTAATGCATTACCAGCAACATCTAGAACTCTCAGAAATTTTAGGAAGTCAAATGTTTTCGGCAACGCATTTATGTCGTTGTGAGCCAGTTCAAATACCTCCAAACTTCTAAGCTTTTTCATATCCTGTGGTAGACCTTGCAGGCGGTTCCTGGAGACACAGAGCTCCGTTATTAGCTGGTTTTCTCCCAAAGATTCCGGAATATTGCTGATTTTATTGTCATTAGCCTTAAAACTCTTTAGAGTGCCTACTTTATGAAGGTTTTCAGGAATATGTTTAATATAATTCCCCGTCACATCTAAAGATATCAGCGACTTGAGGTTCGGGAGGTCTTCTGGGAGAACAGTAAGGGAATTTCTGGCTAAACCGATATGTTCCACGGACTTGAGTTTGCTGATACCAGCTGCAGTCTGTAGCTTGTTTCCAGACAGATCCAATTTCTTGATGTTCTTAAGTTGGTAGAAGTTTTCTGGTAGGTTCTCCAACTGATTGTCGGCCAGTTCTAAAACCTGGAGTCGTTGAAGCTGATGAATCTCCTTGGGCAGTCTTTTTATCTGGTTGTCAGAGGCGTGCAAATACGTGAGTGCAAAGTGCAGGGTGGTGATCTCCTCCGGAAGGTAACCTATTTTGTTTTTTGATATATTCAGATAGTGGAGGTATTTTAGATACCCAATCTGATTGGGTAACTCTGTCAAGTCATTGTCAGCTAGATCTAAGTATGTTAACGTAAGGACGTTGTTGATGTTGTCAGGGATATGCGATATTGAGTTTCCAGATACAATTAGCTTTTTAAGTGCCGGATTTTTAACGTTGGCATCGGGTAATTCAACAAGACGATTTTTGCTAAGATTCAAAGTGGCACCAACCTCATATATTGTTTTTTTCACGGAACGAATGACATTGTCAGTCAAATCTATAAGTACTAATGCAGGGCACTTGTTTATAGTTTTAGGCAGGGCTTTGATTTTGTTGTTCTGGGCATACAAATACTCCAATGATGGCCCTTTGTTTATGGTTGCAGGGAGACTTTTCAGACCGTTGTTCCCACACTGGAGTTCTTTTAATGCTTTGATCTTGAATATTGTCCCCGGCAAAGCCCCCAGGGAATTATTTCTCAAATCTATAAACTCCAAGTTGTCCAAGTCTGATATGGTTTTAGGAAGCTTCTTCAAACGGTTATTTTCGCCCAGTAATTTTACAGATTTTATTTGCACCTCCTCGTTTTTCCATATTTCTACTGGAAAAGCCTTGATTCCATTGGTAGAAAAATCCACAATGACCTTAAGATTTTCATTTGTGTAGATAAGATGCTTGCGCACAGTAGGCGCGAGGGCCTTGATTCTACTTCCGGGCCCTTGAATGGGAATTACTTCGTCTTTGTCCTTGCTCATTTTTCATTCATTATAACATGGCTTGGATACCTGAAGTTGAAAAAATATAAATTATATACTTTCACTTTTTTTTTTCTTTTGCCAACTACTTGTAACCGTAATATTTTCCTCATATACATGTACATGTATATACATGTACATATTATCCTTTTTAGTTTGGTATATAGTAGAATATGTAATTCAAAATTGGCGCAAGTATAATTTTTTTTAGATTCACATATTTCATATTAATAAGATATACAAAAAAAGCGTACAGTTATTTATCTTACTAAAATTATTCTGGATGAAAATGTATCAAAAATAATACGTTGTACAGTGTGTGACATTTCAGCTACATCATACTAAAATATATTACGTCGAATTACATTATATCTATTCTGAACCAGAGACTCAGTTGAGCTTTTCTGGCCTGGGCTGCCAATGATTAGATGAGTCTACAGGTACCCCTTTATAATACAGATACAAGTCTTCATCAGGTCCCCTGGTGAGAACACAATGGTTCAAGATTTTATATAGGTATAAGATGGAGGAAATGGGACGAAACATTATTTTTAAGGAATAACTATCTAGTTTTTTTTTGTTTTTGTTTTTTTATGATGTTATCAAGCAATTGGCTTGCATGATAATTTGCATAAACGCCGAAGGCGTTTATGCATAAATTTATCACTCAAGCCAATCGCTTGATCATCATCATAAAACCAAAAAACCTGACAGTTGTTCCTTATATTTACATGATTCCGTAAATTCATGTGCTCGATCCTAATCCCGCCCACTTCTCTTTCTCTCGCTCCCGCTCAGCACGTGATTTTTGTTTTACCACGCCTATCGATGAATTAGGAGCTTTATGAAGAAATCAAGTTTTTTTTTTTATCATTTGTAGTTTTATCTCGGACAAAGACATTTGAAATGTAAATATTTCAAAATAAGAACATTCCTTAATTGTGTATATTAATATACGATAGCATCCTTATATTGTGTAGATTGTTTCAAAATCATGGTCCACATGATCTTGGCTGGTGATACAGGGATTTAAAATTTTACATTTTTTTTTTTAATTTTAGGTTCTTCGTAAATACTCGGAACAATTTTGAAGAAATATGACTTTAACTTGTCTAATAAATATATGTCACAGGTGGGATGAAAAAAAAATCAGGTCTCAACCGGCACTCGAACCCAGAGCCTTTGGGGTATCATGCCAGCGCTCTAACCACTGAGCCATTGATGCCCGATATATTGACTCTCACACGCCTGTGAACCCGGTGACACATTCCCCCTCTTTGTGAAAATTCGCCCTTGAATTCTCTGAGTTAAGGGAATGCTATAAGGCATGTTCCTAGGTAATAGTGGGTATATGTACGTTGGGCGCCAAATGTCACAGGTGGTGAAAAATCAAGTCTTAACCGGCACTCGAACTCAGGGCTTCTGGAGTACCGTGGCAGAGCTCTAACCACTGAGCTATTGAGACCCGATATATTGACTGACTCTCACACATTGAACCCGGTGACATACAGATATACGCAAAATTGAATACTAGAATATATGTCCTTTGAATAAGTTTGAATTGGTTTTTGGTTACAAAGGAGGATTATTCGTTTGAGAGAGAGAGAGAGAGAGCATATGTCTTAGGTGAGCATTGTGACCCATGGGACACACGTAAAAAAAACCCTGAAAGGAACAAACCATATAAGAAGTTCAACAGTTATCAATCGTCAGAATCGTCTACTACATAACTTTTAACACATGCCTCTACAAGGGTACTCTTGAAGAACAAAATGTTAGGGATTGCTCCAAACACTTCAAATGTCATTCTTATCTACAAAAAGATTTTATGTCTAATTAATTACCAGTATTTTACTCCCTGTCTATACAGGATTCATCGGAAACCTTTCCCTACCAAAATATTTACAAGCTCATGATCCTTTATATTCCAATCAATATGTCTGTTACCAAAACAAAAGCTCTTACAAATAACTTGTTATTGGAGAAACTGGAAACAATTTAAACAATTAAATTGAAATTTTTTAGGCTCTTGCTATTTTATTGCATTCATTTCTGTCCATTTTTAATTTCTATATTGAAAAATCTTTACTATTTTCTTTAGTTGTAACTCGTCGTATTAAGATTTATTGAATTAATTGAAAATTTACTCGGAGATTCGAAGTGCCACCGACAATATTGATATCTACGGAACGAGGACGGCCACACGGGGAGGTAATCAATTCTAGAACACCGTGAACAACACGCCAGAGCGAGGGGACTGGAGAGTTTTTATGGGATTTCGTGATTAACTTTGTCCTTTTTTTCTCTCCCTAAAATTAATCAATTGAATGTGTAACTCGAGATTAAAATTCACTTAGAGACAAGATATGTTAGAGGTATTTATCAACTGTGGCACTTTAAATTCAAAGTTTTGAAATTGAAAAACTGTGCTTTGTAAACATTTAAACATGGTTGAGTTGTTTTTTTTTTTCATTCAGAAAAATAAAATATATTTTTTCAAAGAGATATAATAATATTTTTCATCAGACTTACTATTCGATTGAAAGTACCATTTACTCCCAGGGTTTAATCTCTCTACTCAGGCGGATTGACTAAACCGAAACGGAGGAAGGATACATTTCTCTCGTGTAAATAAATACATATTTAGACAGTAATTAAAAGCCCTCACTAGAGGGGTTTTAACCTATCGATCAGGATATGCATTCATTTCATTTGAACAAAATTGACATACTGGAAACACAAGATATTTTATATATGTGTTATGGGCTACCTACGCGACGAGTCGATTGAGGTCAAAATGTAAATACACAAATACATATTGCAGTTTAAATGCCATTATTGGCATAAAATTTTACCCAGTGCAGAATTTAGTCGCTACTTAGCATAATAAAGCTTTGTTGTGCATAGGTAAAATTCGACTGTGGTATTTGACTTAAATTTTAAATGGCATATATTTCAAATTGTTAATTGAACATTTAAATACCTACGTTTATTTAATACTTTAATTAAGCCACGTGAAGTGAAAAAAATATTAGTCATAATTGATTGCTTAAGGGAAAGATACTAACAAGTATGGAGCATGAAAGGGATTTAAAATTCAAGTTATACAAAATAAAGAGGAATGAAAAAATATATATAAAATATATATGAAATGTATGTTTATTACGCCATGATTTAGATGCATTTTTATATAATTAAAATATTATTTTATTTTCAGACACAAAGTTAGTCTAACAGAAGAAAGCATTGAAATGTAGAAGAGAATGCATGTTGGACATTAAAGAAAGCACCAATCTATCTTAACGAGAGAGATGCAAACATTCTTTTGCTTAATAAACTTGATATCGTATTTGAAAGCATTGAAATTTGATGAAAATGAAACCACCCAACTCAAACAATATCTCTTTAAATTTCTTACCTGGCTATTCTTCAGTGTTGACAATATTATGATTAAATACACAACAAGGTGTGTATTATCAAATACACGTCGTTAGTCTGTCGAAAGGAACAGTTATCCCTGATCGCGATAAACCATTTTTCTTTATAGACTAACTTCACAAAGTTCAAAGTTTTCGTTCGACTTCGCTTGTTCCCGTCTAGCGGCCCTAGTGACAAGAACGATAACTCGTTGCTAAGCCATGTAAAGGTACAGTCTGCAGTTCAGCGATAGGGGTCGCCGTTAAAAGGTGATATGCCTTAGCGGTCTTTAACAAGTGCTTAGGTTATTGCTGGTCAGTGATTTACGTAAGAAAAATTAAACACTAGCGTCAATTAAATAATTAAAACTTTTGGAAGTTTCAAATGATCGTATTCAATCTTCAAAACGTTGACAAATAAGAGGTACTTTTTTGACAAAAAATACTAAACATTTCAATAAAATTTTTGAAACAGATATACTATATCAAGATACACAATATTGTAAAGTAATACTAGTTTTTAATTTCAATGCACAGAGCTTGTCTTCCGGATTGTTATAAAATGTAAAATAAATTAATAAAATTTTGAATCGACTTTAAATACACTTAAAAAATTGTTACAATAAAAGATTCTGACAAAAGATTTCAGACAAGAAATAACATGTTTAAAAAAACGCAACAACCTATATACATTTTTTTTAATATAGGCGTGGTACTTTTTTTTTGCATATGCGTCCTCACTTTTGAAAGATGAAAGTGACAACTTTTCCCAACTGATCAACGAGGGCTCAATATTTGACTGTATAAATCATTCAATATCAGTAAGATGGTCTACAGTTTGAATATCATGGGCTTTACACTTTCTTGGTACGAAAAACTTGTGCAGATGAAAGTATCAACAGCATTCATTGCTTCAACAGGTTGAGTATTTCATTTGCAGCTACGATGATTTCGCCATATTTCAAGATTAGATACAAAACTGACTATAGAACTAACTATATAACATAACTTCAGTCACACATGTACATTTTTCAATTTTCCATATCCACTTTATTTTATACGATGACCAATCTGGACTTCAGGCACATGACTTGTGAATGGTGTAACCCTCCTCCCCTTTTTCTGAGAATTGATAACTTACCAAATATACATGAATTCCTGGTCTATCGTACCTATATTCCAATTTGATATCATTTTCCTTTTTTGTTAAGTCCAGGGACAATCTCTATTGTCGATCAGTTGCTCCCTTGCTTAATCGTCCTATTAGTGAGAGATCTACAACACCAGGGCAATGCAAGAAAGGGAGAATGTGAGGAGCATGAATTTAAAAGAAAGTCATGAAAGTGAGAGATATACGTATTGTGGCTCCTTCGCTCCTGTATTATTTTCGTCGCTGTCTCGCATTGTCGCCATAACGTTCTCGCCTTTGTCACCCTGGCTCTCTCGCAATGTACATCTAGCCCCTTACTCAAACGGTGAGGAAGTAAGTGGCCTACCAGTATTGGTCTCCCCCTCCCCCCTCCCGAAATAAGATTTTCAAGTTTGGGTATAATCCCCCTTTTTGGTCCAAAAATTCATCCTTGAACTAGCCCCTCTGCTCTGAAATTTCTGGATCCGCCACTGGGATTTTAAACTCAGCGTCTGAGATTCGATGCGTACCTGTTTCAAATAAAGAAATTCTACATTACTATGTACAGATATCTTATTTAGCTGTCAATTAGATCTTCTACGTTTGATGCAGATGGTCTTAAAATGCAACGTTTTACAATCTTCTGATGAGAGTTTATAGAAAATAAACATTGCATCGTCAAAGTAGACAGTCATTTGCTTGATATCACTTATAACCAGAGAAATCAATACATTTTTAAAATACATTTTTGTAATAATTTAACGAACTTTCCTACATGAATACATTACATAAGTGAGGAATCTCGAATTATTCTGAATACATTTTTAAAATTTCTTTTGAATTTTAATTTGGCAAATAAGGGTCTCTGAGCATAAAACAACATGAAAAATATGACCAAAGTTGAACTGATATCAAAACCAGAAGTGTCTGACGAGACTGTAGCTCTACTGGTTTTTACTTATAACAAAGAAAGATAAAAGTAGACCTTGGACTTGAAACTTTGCATCAGCAATAAATAGAATAAAGATTTTTGGTTTAGTCTCTTTTTGTGGCAAGATTTATTGCAATCAGATTAAAACTGTAGGAGGAGTATCCTTTTAAAAGAATTTTACAGAAATTATGATTTCAATAATCATGGCAACATCATTCAACAAAATAAAAAAACAATGAAGACAGTTATGTATCTTAGTGTAGTCTACTTGTGTGCCAAGTTATATTGAAATCAGACCAAAACTGTAGGAGGAGAAGCGTTTTGAAGGTAATTCAAGGAAAAATTCTATTTTTAGTAACCATGGCAACACTATTCATCAAAATAAAAAAACGATATACAGAATTATGTATCTTATTGTAGTCTACTTGTGTGCCAAGTTATACTGAAATCAGACCAAAACTGTAAGAGGAGTAGCATTTTGAAAGTATTTCAAGGAAATTTCTATTTTTAGAAACCATGGCAACACTGCTGATCGAAATCAAAAACCAATAAAAAGAATTGTGTATCTAAGTGCAGTCTACTTGTGTGCCAAGTTATACTGAAATCAGACCAAAACTGTAGGAGGAGTAGGGTTTTGAAAGTATTTCACAGAAATTCCTATTTTTAGTAACCATGGCAACATCGTTCATCAAAAACTGATACACAGAATTATGTATCTTAGTGTAGTCTACTTATGTGCCAAGTTATATTGAAATCAGACCAAAACTGTAGGAGGAGAGCGTTTTGAATACGTTTCCCAGAAATCTCTATTTAGTAACCATGGCAACACTGCTCATTGAAATCAAAAACCGATATACAGAATTATGAATCTTAGTGTAGTCTACTTGTGTGCCAAGTAATATTGAAATCAGACTAAAACTGTAGGATGAGTAGCGTTTTGAATGTATTTTCCAGAAATCTCTATTTTCGGTAACCATGGCAACACCGTTCATTGAAATCAAAAACCGATACACAGAATTATGAATCTTGGTGTAGTCTACTTATGTGCCAAGTGATATTAAAATTGGACCAAAACTGTAGGAGGAGAAGCGTTGTGAAGTTTTTTTTTTTTTTACAGACGGACGGTACTAGACAGACGGACGGACAACGGACACCTTACTATCACATAAGCTCTTCTTGTCTCTGACCAGAGGAGCTAAAAAAAAAACTCATGATTTTTGTTTCCAACAAAAATAACATGCGCAGTTCTACCGGGGGGGGGGGGGTGGTGTCTGACCCCCGAGGGATTTTCAGACCCTCTTCCCCCAGAAAACACTGACCCATTGTAAAATGGTACGGAGAGATGTATCTGAAGAAAATTACCTATGGAAAGTGACTTGGCCTAATCCCCCTACCCCCCCCCCCCACTCCTAAAAATTCATGTTCATGAGACAATTCTTCTGGTGAAGAAGTATGGCAGAAATGGATATTTAACGAATATATAGAGCGGTAGGAAATGCATACATGAAGGTCAGGTTCACAAAATACCGAATACTGTATTTTAAATGCAACATTTTATATTCCAATTTTCTATTGAAGAGATAAAAAGAAATCTTTGTCCTTACTCCATTCTATTGAAACACCAGTTGGAAAAATAGCACAAGTAGGAGCAAAAAATCTTAACCCAAAACTTCACATACAATCTAGGACCCCCCCCCCCCTTAAATTTCGTGGAAACTGCTCTTCGTTATTTTTCTGACACTTGTTAAGAATTCTGTATGTCCTAGTGACTGTCCATTAAATGTACAGGTATATCTGTCCATTTGTTTACCTCCATATGTCCTTTTGTCTGCCTTTTTGGTTTTCTCGGAGTGTTACCTGTTTTTTTTTCCTTTTCCACTAACCATAATCTCTAGCTTAGATCGCAGCTAAAATAACAAAAAAAAAATGTAATTGATAATTCTTATCATTTTAAATTTCGAATTGTTACTCAATATTAAAAGGTGTATTACTGATGTTCATTGAACTCTTCTCAATATCTGGATTATATCTATGATTTTGTTACTGATATTTATTGAACACTTCTCACTATCTGGATTATATTTATGTTACTGATGTTATTGAACACTTCTCACTATCTCGATTATATTTATGATTTTGTTACTGATTTTCATTGAACACTTCTCACTATCTGGATTATATTTATGATTCTGATACTGATGTTCATTGAACACTTCTCACTATCTGGATTATATTTATGATTTTGTTTCTAATTTTCATTGAACACTTCTCACTATCTGGATTATATTTATGATTTTGTTACTGATGTTCATTGAACACTTCTCACTATCTGGATTATATTTATGATTTTGTTACTGATGTTCATTGAACACTTCTTACTATCTGGATTATATTTAGGTCTTCCGTTTTCAACGGAAGACCTATAGTGATTCTACTGTTTCTTATTAAGGTCTTCCGACTTCCTTCGGAAGACCTTATTGTTTTCCGTCTGTTTTCTATTATTAAGGTCTTCCGTCTTCACGGAAGACCTTATAGTGATTCTACTGTTTCTTATTATTAAGGTCTTCCGTTTTCACGGAAGACCTTATAGTGATTCTACTGTTTCTTATTATTATTATTGTTATTCTTATTTTTCCTCCCATATTTTGTGCACGCGTTTTCTCAAAAACTATTCAGTGGTTTTCAGTGATTTTTTCAGGGATAATGGACATTATTATGATCTTTGTGCATTTGAGGAGAAAATTCGAAAAATCTCTTTCGGTTCCAAGTAATGGCCAATTTTCTGATTTTGAATTGGATTTTTGTCTTTCTATCTCCTCTAGAACGGCTAAAGATATGAACGTGAGACATGTCAAAGATGATAGAGCATGACTTGTAGATGTTCTGACCAATTTTTTGTGTGTCGTCGATGCTTCCGGTCACCACCGGAAGCGAATTTCACAAATGGATTTTTTCAACTTTTTTGTTTTTCATTATTTTTCTTTGATATTATTATGGTTAATAGAAACACTTCCAAAAATACTTAATATATAGTTTGTTTTAAATTTGATAAATTCAAACTCTAGATATTTGCATTTTAAAATTTGAAGCGGGGTCAAAATGGCGGCCGTCTCCGTA